ATAAAAAGCTAAAAACAGATGGCAGCAAGAACTAAAACTTCACAAATTCTTGGGATTGGAGATTTTGTTATTTTGCAAGTTCCTACATCTGTATTCATGAGGAGTCTGTCTTAGCAGGAACATAGTAAACACATACAGCAGATAAATCAAAGTGCAGCATTAGGAATATCATGGATACTGGGCTACTGGACCTCTGCATTTCATCATCTTGTTATTTGTTATGGGATTAAGCAAATCTAAATGTTCACCTTCTTTCAGTATATGATAAATACAGATAAAATTAGTCTGCAAGATCTCACAGACCTTTTTTAAACACTTCTAAATATTTCTTAAGTATAGGTTTAATATTTAAATAAGAAACTTACAGGCTTTTTGGTTTCTATCATTAAGAGAGATGGAGGCTTCTCATTAGATGGCTGGTTTGGCTGATTTTTTTGATCTGAAAATCGTGATGAAGGCTTATAGATTTTACCCCGTTTTTCATCTGTTTCATGCTCCTCTGCAATTAAAGGCAAATTAAAACCAAATTGTATTAACTAATGTTGCACAATACTGTTCATTAGAAAGATTATTTTTGTTCTTCAGTCTTGTTCATTCAACATATTATTTCACTTTAAAAAGTGGTAATATAAACTTTACCTAGGTTAGCGTCTTTTAATATAAAGTACAGAGATTAGGTTTTTAAAACAAAACATTTCTTACTTTGAAGTTTTAAAGACATATCATACCACTACCTACCTAGAGAGTCAAAGCATAAAGTCAGTTTTAGCTACTTGAGATCAAGTCCCCTTTGCTACTTCTAATGTAACAATTTTAAAAAGCAATTCAAAGCTAATCTTCATCTTTACTCAAAGCCAAATGATCCACCACTCCCAAAAAAACCCATGAGTTATACCTTTAGATGCATTAACGATTCCTCCTCTTACAAATGTTTTCACTTTATTACCATCACTTCCTTCAAAGGCAGCAAGGAATTCTTCATAAATTTCTGCAGCAGCCTTCTCATCCTCCTACATAGCAAATGTTAATCTATTTACTATCATCACAGAACAACCTTCACTAGACAGCTATACTTAAATTAGCTATGTGACATTCCTTTTTATTTTCTGGAGTTCATGCTACAAACTGCATCACATGAGTTTCAACTTTAGACAGAATTCAAATTTCTGAGATATGTGGGAAAAACACAGCACATAATATATAAAGCAAATAAGGCCTGTATGCTCAAATATGACCATTCATTTACAAGAGTTTACATGGCAATTTAACATCCAAAAGATACCAAACAGAAAATATCAAAGACCAGCACTATGAGACTGAAGCTTTGTTGACCTAAGCATCAGAAAACAGCACATATTCCATCTTGCCCATAACAATCAACCCATGTGACTGAAGGAAATTAACAACAGTCACCTTTATGTATTTCCCAGATAAGTTAATTCAATGACTTAATAAACCCAAGTGTAACACTAAATTTAGCACTACCATGTTTCTTTAGGCTCATATTCCCAACAACCTAGCAGGAGATATCCCACTGAAATACAGTAACAGTGATGCATGTATAGTTCAAAGCTACAATTACCAAAATAAAGACAACTGGTGATAAAGCTGATTGTAATCTAAAAGCAAACTTATTTCAGCTCTGCATACATAACAAAATTTCCACTGTATACCATTACCTTCTTTTTTAATTCTTCTTGCTCCTTCTTGCTCAGAGTCCGTTTGGCAGTACTCATTTTGCCAATACTGAATGCTTTAAGTTTGCTTTCCATTAGAGGCTGCAAAAGGAATACAAAAACACACATTAAGCCTTTCACAAAACAATTGAAACGATTTACTCTTCACATGGTCTAGACCAAAAACTTTCCACCTGAAGTGACTTAACCCAAACAGAACAAAGAAAAGGCTTCCTGTAGTTCTCTCTGAACTTCCCATTATCTAATACAACCAAAAAACTTAAATCTAGGGTTTTTAAAAACAAATCGTCCTCTGTTTAATGAGAAAGATTGTAATACACTATTCAAACACAGCAGAAATATGAAGGGTACTTGCTGTAAGAGCCTGGAGATCTAATCACTGCACAGCACAGAGTTTCTATACCTTTGGAAACACATACTTTGTACTACAGTTCCTCTTTGATCATCGCAATTTCCAAGAAAAGAAAGACAAAGAAAAGTTCCAAAAGCTTTTCTGACTATTTTGGCCAGAAAAATGTCTGCACAAGGCTGAACAGGTGTAACTGAAGAACAAAATGGATGGTAAATATCAGCTGTACATCAAGGTTAATCGCAATATTTTGGCTTGAAGAAGAAAATGCATTCTTGAGGTTTTTAGCTACTAGTTAAATAAAAGACCTCATATTTAGCTCCTAGATTCTTTCTACTTTAAGTAGTTTAACCTCCATTCCTTCTCTCCTTCCTTCTTGACACCCTAATGAAGGAAGGACTCCATGTAACAGTCATTTCTGGATAGTATGAAATTAGAATTATACATAGGTAGTTAACAGATGGGAAAGCATTGAGAGAGTGCAAACAGGATGAAGGCCATGTTCCAAAGGCAGAGGCAATGGGAAGGAAAGTAGAGAAAAGATAAGAAACTTCCCTGGAAACTCCTAATACAGTAATTCAAAAAGAATCAGCACAAGAACAAGAAAAAACATAAGCAATTAACCTTTATTTTCAAAAATTTTGTGATACTCTTGCACTGCACAGTGATGCTTAAAACTACCATTTCTGCAATGACAGCCCCTTAAAAAACAATCAGATGAATCTAATAAAACATCAACACAAGTAAGGTGAATGACTTACCTATCATATTATTTAAAAATCATCAATGCCAACTGCACAGGAGAGTTTCCTTGAGGAATAATTTTCTTTGTAAAAAGTTTTATTGCCAGTATCAGCCTCCTATTCAGAATTTTTACATACCAAAAAGCACTGTGAAAAACACCTGTTTAAAATACCTTATGTTCATAGTCCTTCTTTTGTATCACTAACACCTCCTAGTATATGACCAAAATAGCTCAAATTTCTTTGAAAAACGTTCCCTGCTTCATCCTTAAAAGGAAAACTATCAGTTACAAATTAATGCAGGGTTGTCTGGAGAGTTATCTGGTTTATGACACTATGTTTGTCAACATGAGCTGCTGTGACAGGTTTATTAGGAGCTTTTAATGCATCTGTGTTTTTGAAGTCAAGATCAGTTTTCCTGTTGTCTGAATGACAGCTTATATTTCAGTATAACAATATACAACCTTGGGAAAACATAGGCATACTGCTACAGCATGGCAATGGAGACTAAAGGCTTATTCTGTCATCAAGAAATAATCTCCCACAGTGATCTGACAGTATACCTGCAGATCAGCCACATGTATGTACGTATGTTCTAGTGACATAAGGGAAGCAACTGCAATATAATGAGAGCCCTGGCACTTAGATCTCCTCAGTTTAGACAGGGTCTCAGGGAAAAAAAACAAAACAAAAACAAAAAAAAAAAAAAAAAAAAAAAAAAAAAAAAAAAAAAAACAAAAAACACACAAACAAAACACACACCTTCGAAGTGGCTGGAGCAATACAAAGTTAATAGGATTAAACTAATTTATGTCTGCTAGATACATTCCAATAGGTAATTATATTATTATTAACCACATGCAGCTTCATAGAATTCCAAACAATTGAGCTATACAAAACCTGAAAGCCTTCCTCCTTCAAAAAATGGAAAATAATACAGTGAAAAGGCTAAAGAGATGGAAACAAAAAGAAAACTTCTAGTTGAGGAATCAAATCACCGTATGAAAGCAAACTCCCATTAAACGTAACACCGCATTGACTTTAAGAAGGCACAAAATACTGAAGCGCCAGTTCCATCAAAAACACAAAAGAGATTTAAGAGTGATTTTCCAAATTGTAGCAAGTAAACCGAAATCAATAAAAGGACCTTTCCTTATGAAAAGTTTCTGTTATCACAACTTGAATAATGCTATCTCACAAGCAATTTAACAGCTGGTAACTGACCTTTTCATATAGAAAATCAAATTGAAATCTCAAAGAAAATCCAAACCACAGAATGAATGGTATGGTATTAGCACTGTTTGGTACTTGCTGCCTGGTTTTATTTTAGCTCAGAAATAGGTAGGCCTTCAAACAACATACAAACCACATGACCACATAAGGTCCCTGCAGGGTGGGGGAGGGAGGGGGAGACTAGGTAATAATTCCTACCTCTTGCTTTCAGTATATTCTACTAGAAAGAAAAAGAAATTATGAAGTTAGGGCCACTCTATTTCATTTTTGAGAAGCCAACCGTATACAAGACGACGCTTAAACATACAATGACCCTTACAATTAATAGTATTTTTAACTATTGGTGTGTACAAGAGAAACATATAGAGCTTCCTCACAGCTTCTTCCTGTTCAAGTATCTATTATGAATACGTAGCATCATGCAGCAGAGATTTCTATGCTAGTGGTTAGTTGAAAGCTTCAAGGAATATTTTCAAAAATTAAAATCAATGGTTGATTTACAAACACCTACGGATTAGATACCCAATACACCAGAGTCTGCCTACAGCAAGTGGTTTTCTGTAGAGAACAAACCTATTTTGAATTTGAGGGTTTGATAAGATTTTTATGTTTAGAGTTTGTTCTGGGGTTTTTTTGGGTTGTTAGGTTTTGTCTTTTTAATTATTTTGGACTTACATGTGAATCCGCAGATCCAGTGGTGTGTACTGCATCTGGCGCCCTGACCTGAAGAGAGAATGAAGAAGAGTGAGACATGGAAAAAGAAACACACAAACAACCTCTGTTTCATTAATTCAGTTCTTTGAATGTGATTTTCATTTCAACTTCAACATCCACATACACAAGAACAAAGTTACATGTAATGTATTTTAACTGAACAGGGTCACAGCATAAACAACATCAATATAAGGGATTGAAGACAGACTGTTCTTGCTACCCTTAAAAACATCTAAATTTCCATAGCTGGATTTTATAAACACACAACACTACTGCAAGCTCAAAAGAAACAACACGTTTGTTACACTGAATCTGCAAGAATTATCATTAAAAGCTGTTAAAGTTTACATTAAGTGCTTGATTATATTTGCCTTACTATAAAATAATTTCCAAAACTGCTCTTAGTATGCTGTGCACAGACGGAAACTGGCCACCTCAAGAGCACTAATTTAAGTCCAATTTGTGCATATGCACTAATTAACACTATTAAACTGTAACTGAACATTAACACATAAACCAGTGTATATACAAAATTTGCATGGGATTTTTTTTTTTAAATCAGGTTTTTAAATGAGTTTTAGTGATGGAGAACACTCCAACAAACAGGACTGAACACATTTTAAAATTATGTAATACCCAAATTCCAGAAAACCTCACTGACATAACAACAACTATTAAGACATAAGTGTCTGATGCACAATTCATATCTACATTGAAATCTAAGTAAAAATAAAACATTTCCATTAGCTGAAATCTGTTCATTAGCTACAGAACATTAACACTTCTCCTTATTACCAGCAATTTATAGTTTCCACCAGAAACAGTAATACAACAGTGCTCATCTCCAGTCTTCCAAAAGGGACAAAGCACCAAACACTACTCTAGGCAGTAATTTACTAGGCTTTATTTTTATTTTGCATCATGCTTTTTCATCAGCTAAGAGGCATTTATCTTTGGACAAGTTTATTCCTATCTTTTACAGTCACATCAATTTAGGAAAAAATGGTAGATGGCACTTCAAGAACCACAACTAAGTCCACAAGGGTAAACAGAGACACAAAGGTATAACCTTTAACAGGGAGAAGCAAAAGGCGCCTAGGAATTTGTTTGGGGCTTTTTTTAAGAAAGAGAAAGGAGCAGGGACCAAAAAAAAAAAAAAGAAAAGAAAAAAAAAAACCTAATTTTGTCTTACCCTCAGATCTCTCAAATCCACCTACCTGCAACACTATGCATTAGTCACAAGGCACATATTTGCACAGAAGTTAGTAAATTCAGTTCACATATACCAGTAGTAGTTCATTAAAAAGCACATGGAAGTGAATATCACAAGCATCTTTTGCTAATAGCACTTCCTGCAAACTTCTCCTCTGTATTCGGTGATGGATTTTTTTGTGATTCACAACTGCCTATAGCACTCTAATCAGTAATGTGTTATGCACTGCATAAATGTAGCTTAAGGAAACCTGTCATTCCCTCTCCCTCTCCAAAAGCTTATCAATGTATAACACAACATCATAGATGAAAAAAAGACATTGTGCCAAAGAATTTCAGAGCTTAAAAACAGCATTCTTCCCACTGCCAGCTGCCACCCTGTGGCAACCAACACAGTTACAATTCCATCCTTAAAAAAAAAGTATTTTCAGACCTGTAGTTAAAAAGATAAATCTCAAAGGTGGACTGATACAGTGTCATTTGCCTTAGTGTTCTGGCAGATTCAAGACCTAGCACTGCTTGGTGGAAAGAGGTTGTTTGGCAATAGCAAAATGAAATTACCATTTCTCAGTTCTCCACATCTGTTTCATTTACAGAAGTTTTGAAAAGCAACACCTTCCAACAGTGATTGGTGCTGAAACTGCTTACAGGGAGAACAACAAACAAGGCACCACACACAGTAACAAACTGTACCAATGCTCAGTACAATGACACAACACAATATCCTGAGTAAGAACATAGAAGAAGTAACAGACACTAAATCTGTTTCTTCAGCAACAGAGCAGATGATACTGCTTGGAAAGGCTTTCAATGCATGGTAGCAC